GCAGTCGATCTGCTGTGCAGTGTGTCACACTGGATCCTGGTTGCTGGTGACCAGTTTTGGACCAGGGATCTGGTCCAATGACCCACGGGTCTTGGGAGGCAGCGGGTTTGTTGCTGTTGTTGATGTAGGATCGCGTCTTGCGTGACACCACAATAGGATCAGCGGCGTCATCCTTGTTGATGGTGCGAACTTTGGTGACGATCACATCACCATGAGCTCCAGGCAGTACTGGGGAAGGTGGAGGTTGGTCCGATCCGACTTCCCATGTGACGCCAGTGCCATCTCGTCGGATTGGTTGAAGTGGCTTGGCTTTCCATCCCCAGGACTGGAGGGATTTGACGAGCCCTTGGCGTTGTGTTCCATGGGGCAATGGAAAGAGCTGGTAGATGTCAACAACCTTGATGGGGAGGAAGTCTTCCAAGGGCTTCAGCTTCTTGTGGCCGGCTTCAAGAGCTGCTTGCTCGAAACGAAGTCCATACTTGTTGAGAAAGCGAGCGACAGAGAGCGCTTTGTCAGTAGTTTTAAGCCGGTGCAGAGCGTCTTGGAGTGTGATGGGTCCCAGCCACACAATGCCGAATCGCTCATCTGGTTGTTTGCCGGATGAGTCCCGAGGGTCAATGTAGATCCCGTGCGTGGCAGAGCCCCGGATGACCGCCTCGGCTGCTGCACTAGTGATCCGAAGGAGCACGCTCCATCCAATTGCAGTTTGTGGTGTGGCACTTTTGCCGGTAGTAGCAAACCAGGAACGGTTCCATATGTCATGGATGACCGAGTCGATGTCGTCGTCATCGACTGGAGGATGGAAGTTGGGGCAGCTATTGCCACAGCCGTCCCGTCGGCATAGCATCAGGATGGGGAACTGCTGAATGACCGCTTTCATGGGTCCGTCTTGGAAGGTGGTCCAGTCGTTGGGCCATTGATCCTGATAGACACAGAGCTTGAGTGTCGTAGTTGGAGTTGGCGCAATGCTTGGCCTGTTGGGATGGCGTTCTCGCATGACCTGAACTTGTCCCAATTGTGCAAGCGTGCCACGGATGAGAACCGGGTCCTGCGTTCCCTTGTGGATAGCGGGGAAAACGAGGTCCTGGAGAGTGAGCATGCCTCTCATTTCCGAAGGAATTGCTGCCGTGGTGAGGACAGCGAGAGGTCCGTCCGAGATGGGTTGCCCTTCCCGGAGGAATGGTGCAAGATCAGCGGGAGTGGCAAAGGCAATGCCTACTTGGTGTTGGCTGAGGGTGTTGAAGGGGATGTGGTGTAGAGCGGCTCCATCCTCTGCGATGAATGAGTTGGGGATCAGTTCAAGGTCATGTGGCGTGACCTGGAGCTCTGGTTGAGTTGGACGTGTCTTGGGCTTGTTGGTGCGTCTCTGGATGGCTCCAAAGTGGTGAGCCGCTTTTTCACGAATTCTCTCCTGTAGTTCGTCGCTCTGAACGAACAAGAAATGGATGTCAGGTCGTGAAGCAATTGCTTTTAGCTTCTGCCAAGGTGCCTGGCTGGCCAATGCTTGTGAAACTTCATGGTGCGGAAGTTTTTTCAGGGCTTGATGCGCACGTTCGAGTGTGCGCTCCGGAGGGACTCCTTTTGTGGCCAGGAGTTCACTGAGCTTCGTAGCGAGTTGTTGTGTGTCGGCGGGTCCAGTGCCGAAGATCCCATCCGTATGTGGGTGCTGTTGTCGGATGTGGTGGTGCCAGTGTTGAATGCTGCTTGGTGTGGCAAAACCAATGCTAAACACAAGGTGTGCTAAGGCGCAGGTTCCGCAGGTGTGTGGATCTGTTTGCTGGTAGTGCGTGCGAGAGACGAGATGTAGCCGATCGTGCTCATCTGCTGTGGCAAGCTGGTGAATGAGTGCTGTGAAAGGTGCTGGGATGCTGGTGTCTGGTGTGGTGGTAGAGTGCAAGCTGTTCCAATGTGTGAAAGCTTGCTGGGAGCCTCGGCCCCTTGTGAGGAGGGTCCAGTGTTGGTTGTGTAGACAGATCGCAAAGAAAGCGATTGGCAGTGTGGAGGTTGGGTGTTCCGGGATGTGGCCGCCGATGCAAGCATCGATCCCGGGGGTGTGGTGGGGTAAGTCGTCACTGGGAAGCCTCAGGGTGGCCAGCACGTCTTTGATGTGTCTGTCGCTGAGTCCTGCCTGGCGTTCCTGGATTGGTTCCCGGCGGAGTTCGTAGGGTCCCAGGAACCCAATGTCTTGCAGGACGGCATGCTTGGGCAGTTGATGTGGTCCATCCCAAAGGCTGGGTGTGGTGGTGTGGTCGAATTGTTGTTCTGCTCGGAGAAGATGATCAACTTCTAAGAAACCGTCCCGAATGACTGGCAGCCATCCATGTCCGTCGTGAATGAGGAGATGCCGTGTGGCATGTGACTGATCTGTCTGCCAGTGGTGGTGTCTTTGGAAGAGAAGCTGCTGCTTGTGTGCCTCCAGAAGCTGTAGCGGTTCGGCGAGTGGTGTTCGGCTGAAAAATTTCTGAACAGCCCGAAGAAGGTGGCTGGTGATCCAAAGCGCCTGCAAAGGGGCCGCAATCTGTCCCAGCAGACACAATCCATCCCTGGCTGATCCCACAAAGTGGTACCCAGCTGGTACCGTGTGCAGGAGGCAAAGCTCTTGAACGTGCAGAAACCTCGGCTTGTTGGTAACTTGGGAGATGATGTAGAAGCCCCTGAGACCGCCTGTGATGAGGCGGTTGGAACTGAGTGCCTGTTTGCGGCAGCCGCATGGACAGGCCGTCAGTGCGGATCCATAGCTGTGAAGGACGGTGGGGCATACGCTGGTGAGTTCCAGGCGCCGGTGCTGTGTGCCGTGTGCTGGGTTGCTGTAGGCATCCATCTCATCCTCATCAAGACCAAGGGCGAGTTCTTCGTCACGGGACCACAAGGGCCATGCCGGAATGATGTGCCCCACAGTGGGCATGCGCATGTCCATTGGCCATGGATTTAGCTCTGAGGCATCCATGGCAGCTGGGATCAAAAGCGCCCACCATCTGTTCCGGCGAACTGGCCATTGGTGCTGCAGCTCGAGGAGGACAAACTTCGCCTGAAATCCCATGTGTCCGGCGAAAAGCTGCAAGCTTTCCTGAACGAAGGGGAAATTCTGGACATTGGCCACGCATTCTAACAGAACTGCCGACGATTGGTGTAGCCATGCTGTACGAAGAGTGCCCCAAAACGCGGAAGCTCTGGAGTCCTGAGATCCTCGGCCGTCTCTTTGCCGGCTGAAAGGCTGGCAAGGAAAGCCTGCTCCCAGGATTGTAGGCTCTGCCGTGTTGGCGAAGTGCAACTTCAGGATGTCTGTGTCGCTGCAAACGCTGCCCTGAATCACATTCAAGGCCTGGTTGGCTCTAAGCGTGCTGCATGCCAAGGGGTTGGTGTCCATGTGGGCCACTGTTCTGACCCCAGCACTGGCCGCTCCGAGAGCGATGCCGCCCATGCCAGCACACACTTCCTTCATGGTCTTGTAGGCAAGCAGCCCGCGTGGTTGGTGTGGGATCACGGTGGAGATGTTGCTCGGGAAGAGCAGCCAGTGTCCGTTGTCTTGGTGCACCTCAAAGTTGTAAACCGTTACCAACGAGGCCTCGAGAAAAACCTCAGCAGGCACCAGCGCGAGGAGGTCAGTCCCCTTCAGAAAGGAGGCCGCGAGCGTGAGATCCGGCAGATCGCGGTCGGCCAAGACGAGCACCCCGGTGAAGGGAAGCTCCAGCTGCGGAGGTTGTATCCATTTCATGGGTCGATCGAGCGTTCGGCTGACACCAGTCCACCACTGGTAGGCACTCGAGCCAGACTTCATCAAACATTAACAAAGACACACAAAGTCACAACAAATTTATTCAGCTTACCTTTTGGCAAGGACAAAGAGTACCAAATAGTACCAACCCCCACAAAGGACAGATCCAAGTGAGTGTCCGTTTCACCCGAGCTGACCTTTGGTTCTGGTTATCAAGCTTCTGCAAGTTTTACTATAATCCCAACCATCAGCTAGAACAGACAATGGTGCTTTTGGGCGCTGCTCAAGTGGAAAGAACACGAAACCCAAGCAAACACACCACTCAGCAAACAAGCCAACACAGTCTGTGCACTTGATAGTTGGTGAGCGGGTAACCCCAGGACAAGGACATCCCTCCTCTAAGAACAGTAATGAATACTCTGGCACCCCAATGAAAGGAATCCTCAGCATTGAAAGGTTGGGGCATGCTTGACAGGTACGTATGTTGGAGGGTTCTTGGAAGGCATTCTGGTGTAAGCACGGTGGCAAGCTAAAATGGGATGACTGAACATGCAACATCAGTTTGTTCTTGTTTATCCACATGCAAATGGCACATGGGGGTGTCAAAATCCAGGGACCCCCTACATGGGTCATGTTCCTTTTGGTTTCCGCTTTACAACCACCCCAAAATGGTCCTCAAAAAACATAAGCCCAAAATCGGAAAAACATGGAGCATGGTTGCGATGATTCATTCAGCAAGAGTTCTCAGAAATGCCCTTAAAAAATGGCTGATCCTCCATTTGAAACCAAACGGAACATCAAACATTAACAAAATTAACAAAGACCCTCTTGTGTTGGGTCGTTGGAAGGCCTTAGACGTCAGAATGCCTCCAGTCCGCACTCTCTCTGGTTGCCGCAAATACCTGTTGCTGCGATACCAAAGTGGCATTCGCATGTCGACTATGGATTCACTTCTCACAGAAAAGCAGCAACCTAAAAGCCAACAAATTCTCAGAAACATTGCCTAGACCCATTAAATCAAGTACATCTTTGGAAGAGCCTTGAAGACGCAGGAATTGAGGTCAAACGCTCGGTCACATGTATGGGTATGCGTCAAAATCGCAGACCTCCAAAATTGTTTTGGTTTCCCTTCACTTGACTTGAAAAAGGTATCACACAGAACACAAAGTGGGGGGGGCCCTAACATGGTTGGTTTCTTCTTGGTTCCCAGCATCTTAGACCAGTCTTTTCAGTAGCAGGTCCTGGAATTCACCGCCTCGGACCTCAAACGATCTGAGCCAACGGCCCAGGAAGCACGCAAACTGTCGGCCAGTCGTGGAATAAGTTGGGCATGCGCCACCTGCCAGGCCCTGGAAAAACAAACAGTGTGATACCAATGTGGTTGATCCTGATGACTACCGTATCAGCGAGCAAGAACCAGGGCTTCAATCCCCAAACCACCAAAACCTTAGGGCTGACCTGACACGTGATGCTTGCTGTGGAAGGACAGAACTTGGCCCGCAAAACTGGGGGTGCACAGAAAACATATGTTCAAATTGGGGGCGCCGGATCCCGATTTTCTGTGATCTGAGCGACACCTTCTGGCAAATGGATTGAGGATCGATTTGAACAGCCCAAGCCTAGGCCCTTCTTTGGGCGGGTCCATCCCAGTGCATCTGGGTACATGAGCAGGACACACACCCTGCCAAGCCACAGAGATAGGCCGTTCTGGCGGAGGTTCGCACCATGTGATCCTTGTGGGTCGCCATAAAAGTGGCCTACAGGCGAGCCCGCCGTCATATGGGCTGTCTCAAAGAGAACTTCCACCACAGCCCAAAATAGTGTCAAAACCATGGTCACGCTGGTTGGCTGACTGTCTTCAAGTAACGGATCGGGGCACCATCTGCATGTAACCATGAATAAGCAAGTGTTTTGACAATCACACACAGCCACTCGGGGGGGTTAAAATCCTCTCACACACACCCATGTTACAGTTGCAACATCAACAAAATGGCAGAGCTCAACCACCCAAGCTCCTGCTGGAAGAGGGGGAAGATGCACTTGGACCGTGCCTGGCGAAACAAACGCAGGTGTACGAGACCACACACATAGGGACCTGGGCAAATTACTTCTGGCTTCCTGTTCAACACCCAAGGGAGGGCTCCCAGAACAAAGCACTAAGCAACGACAACCATCTGGACAAATTACATTTCCCAGACTGGATGGGCTCGCTTTGCGAGGTTCCGAAGGACAAACAGTGACATAGCTGAAGGGAACCCACCCGACAGAGGTCCACGTGCTGTTGGGCACATCCAGGATGGTCGTAGTCCACCGACCCCAAGGAGTCCCAAGGAAGGAGCCTTCCTGATGGGGAAAAATGGTACAAAACCTTGGCGAGGTCGATGCAACGCGCCCGGGAAGTTGATATATGAAAACCTTGCCAGGCAACCGCGAGAATGTTTAAGTCACTGGAACGTGATCATTCAGCAAGATGATTGAAAATATGACAGATTCCTTGAAAAGGAAAGCCCAGCGGACGTTGGAATCAGCCTCCAACATGTTTAGACAGGCGGATCAACCAAGATTCAGCTGTGCCGCAAAGCCGCGGAGTGAAGTTCATACCCCCTCCCCTATGTGCCAACTTGATAACTTGGCTTGGGATGTAGCTGCAGCCTTCGTGAGATGTCGAGGGGGGGGGGGGGTCAAATCGGCAAAGAGACCGGCGCACCCCCTTGAATATACTTTATATGGGACTTCACTGCAATTCCCACATACCCTTTTTGAGCTGGCGTAAGGAAATGTAAGGGTGTGCCAAAATTGAGCAACAGTAACATGTCCCCATACCAATCCCATGGACCATACTGTATACGAGGAGCAAAAAAAGCTGGTCAGCTGTTTGCCGCGCCTCCCCAAGGCCAGGCTCCTGGACCTTGGACCCATTGGACATGCGAGCGCGGGCCGCGTATTTAGTTGCTCGTTGATTCACTCGTATGTGTGATTGTTTCTTGCTTGATTCTTTGTTTGCTTGAACATTTGATTGTTTGTTTGTATGTCTTGGTGGTTGCTTGTTTAAATGTGTTTGGTTGCTTGCTTGATTGAACTTGCTGTTTTGTTCGGTCACTCACTCGTACAACGCCCATCTGAGCGACTCAGAAACAGGAAGCGCCTAGGACTAGTTTGGGGTATTTAGTGGCTTCCCGGTTGCTGAGGGCTTCATTGATCCGCTAAAGGTTAAACTGGTGGATATATCGGTATGTCGCTTTTGGCGGAACCCCTTTCTGGGCTTACAAGAAAAAACACCAGGAAAGCCACCATTTGGGGGGGGATCCAAAAACAGACCCCCCATATCATACATCCCAAACTCTAAGCTAAAACCTAAGGGGTTGGAACCACCAAGGGTTCCTTTTTTTCGGTGTTATGTTTTTTTCTTTGTTCACGGTGAGATCACACACATCCAAGACCCAAACCCTGTGGCTTGGGGTCAACTACGCGATCCCACTTCAGCTGAGCAACTGGATGGTGCGTGAGCAGCAAAGGAGCCGTCCTCGGCTCAGATCGATGACTCGACTCAAGAACGTCGGGCCCAATATACTCAACCCCACCTGTATTTCTTTGGCCCACAAGGCAAAACCGGGTGGGGGCGGGGCTGGAAAAACAGAGTCCCACATTTATCCCGCCACAAAAAAAGTTAGCGACCTGGACGTGGGGTGTTTCAATGTATTGCATTTATCGTGCTGCTTCAGATTGAGATTAGTTCATATAGCTTTGATGCGGTTTCATGAGCACATATATATATATATGTGAAAAGCACACAAAAGCAATATAATGCATATAAAAATGTATGCATATATACATGTATGACAAGACCCCCACATATATATATATACATATGGCGGGACCCCCACGCTCTACCCGGCAGAAATCTTGTTTAGCAGGATAGGATGGTTTTGCCAGTTGGCCTCATTCATTTTATGCATGCTATCTGGCATTGATACCCCCCACCCAAGAAAAGAAAGAAAGAAAGACAAAAAGTGCCCCACACCAACAAACACTTTGGGCATGGCGACAGCGACATGGGCTTACTCGATCTCAGGCAATGAGCACAAAGTGATCCCAAGCTGCAACCCAACATTCCACGAAAGGGAACCAAACCAAGCGGATTGAGCCAAGGAGGAAACCCAATTCGTTTGAACCAAATCCTTTGAGACAACCAGTGCGGCCAGTGTCTCGGTGACCGCAGCTCCAGTTGGACTTTGGCCAGACCCGGGGAAGCCGAGACATCGGGAAGGCTGAGCCGGTTTTGGATGCCCGGAGAAAGGAAACCACGAGTCGGATGGGTCAAAAAAAATCATTCCATTTCTCATTCCCTGAGAACCACAAAAAGAAACAACACGCAGAATCGCCTGGACCTCTTGGTCTTCAGTTGTGAAAGGGATCTACATGTTGAACGCCTGAAATGTAGATTTGATCAGAAAGAACATTGACAATCGCCGGTAGCCGCTTGTTTGAGCACTTCCACTCTACTGCGGCTCGGTACCTTTTTTTTGGGTTGGTTTCATCAAAAGAGATGCAACAAAAAGAAAGGTGTTCCCAATCCTATTTTGAAACAACCCCAACCAGGGTGGCTTGGCAGGGGTCGCTCAATTTCCCTTCAAAAGTTGCAGACAAGTAGTGGGTTCCAGTGCATGAACAAGGAAATGCTCGGAATCTGAGCGAATCGAAATCTGAGACCTGAGCCCGTTGTCCACCCGCAGGGCCAGGCCCTTCACGAGGGCCACAAAGTAGGAATAACGGGCTGGGTGTTGGGACCTGGGTTGGTTTAAAGGGAATCGTTTGGGAAACCATCAAATCCTCACTTCCTGTTGGGCCAAACGAGTCCAAACTTTTTGTTTGCTGCTAACATGGTCTTCCCAAAAAGTATGTAAAGTCCATGGAACTCAAGAAGTGAGACTTTGCGGTCCCACATCCTATTTCGAGACAACCCCTGACCATTGCCAGGTCAATAGCATGCAGTTAATTCAGTGGCTTCGGAGTCACCATGCCCTTAAATGTGCGCCATGCCATGTATACCACCAACTTAGCCCTTTTGTAAGGCCAGCTTCTTCACAAGACCACAATCTCCGCATGGGTATGAGTACGTCTTTGATCCCACTGGTAAATTCGCATCCGATGAAGGCAGGGATGGGCAGAATACCCATGGTTCCCAGAAGGAGGTTGGTTCAACAATCTGACCGGGCAATATCAATAGCCTGCACCATCTGGAATGGATGAAGCCCCACAACTGGGACAAGTTCCACCAATGCGAATTGGGATTGGGGTTTTGTCCATCAACAGCAATAATATGTGTCTGGATTTTCCCTCAAAAGTTGCAAGAATCATGGTGTGCGACAAAGTCTTCCCACAAAGGGTGACTGCTAGCGGTTGGGACGCAATCCCGCCCGCAAAAAAAACACATACGCACGCCTAATGTGTGCCCAGGTAAAAATAGGGGAAGCCCCCTAACTGGTGAGACAGAAGCATATATATATATATATATATGTGTGTATATATATTTATACAGGAACACACAGTTCCTGACTCACCAGTCTGAAATAAGAAATGGAGACGCAAAAATTTCTCAGAGTTGAGGTCAGTAGGTGTCGCTGTATGCCGCTTTTGTCCAATTGTTAACCCCCCAGATCGACTCAAAAAACTATGAAGGTCAATGAGGGGTACCCTCCCAAATGTTTGCTGGACATAAATTCCCACCAAATTCTGATGGCCACTAGAGATCCTCAGTTAAAACCTCAATTCGTCCTTTTTGGTGGGAAGCGACTTGAGTTTAGGCATGACAGGCATGCCCCTTGCAATGGAAGGAAACAACATGCCTGCAGTTTCCCTGCTTGATTTCTGCAATGATTGGCTTCCCCTGCAAACAACACACTACCCAGCAAAGTGGGCTCGCTTCCGGTGTGGGAGGTGCAAACAGCCAGGATGGTCTGCTCAGGTCCTTGCAAAGCATTCCTCGTTCGGAAGCTCCGGCCTCAGCTCGCGACAAGTGGAATGTCGCTGGGCAATGTGGCAAACAAGTGGCCGGTTGAGTACACAACCTGCACTTTCCTGTGCAGCCCCTTTGCAGGAACATGTTTTGCAGGGCCGAGAGGCCTTCCCAGGTAAACCCTGTGCAAGAACAACTCAACCCCCAAATTGATTTAGAGACATCCAGTCAGCTGGGGCATGTGCTGGCCCGTCAGAAGCTCGTTCCATTCGCTGTCGCTCAGCAAGCAGCAAAACGATGCTTCCCGGCGGGCCTCATCAAGAGCTGCACTTGGGAAAGCTGATCAAAAAAAGCGCCATGGTCCAAATTTACAACACCCGCTATGGAGATGAAGATCTTTAAGACGTTTAAGAGGTCTCACAGGTCCCCACATCGCTCCCAAATGAAGCGTGGAGTACTGTGTAGTTTTGACCGAAGCTCATGTGACGATGACCGCGACTACACTAAGCGGGCCGGCCATCCAAGTGAAGTGACGGAATCAATTTCTTGAGCAAAGCTCTGCCTATGCTCTTACAATCTCTCCTGCGAACTCTGCCCTTGTCCTGTATGACCCATCACTGCGGGCAAGTCACGTTCTGGACAAGTATGCACCTAGGCACGGCAAATGTCACTCTTCCGCAGTTGGTCATACCTTGCCGACATGCTTGTAAGAATTGTAACACTTGCTACAAAGATAGGACAGACCTGATACAAGTAACACACACACAAACGCGCACATCTGCACGCTCTTATGACAGCCGAAACGGCATGGAATATGTGCAGAGAACACATCGTGGCTGCCCGCCTCGAACGCCTGCTCAGAACCACATGCGTTTAACTAGCAGGCAAGACATTCACAAGGAAAGCACGGCTACTCATACTAGTCACTTCATGCAGGCCAGCGTAGCTCTTGACACACCAAGTTCGGCGTTTGCTCAACAAGGCAACAACTTGCCCGCATGTCTGTACCGTGATCTTGTCAGGCTGCCAATGCACTCTGACACAGCCAAGAGAGTTCTGAGGGGTAATCCAAATCAATGGAGCCTTCCTTGGTCACGGTGCGCGGAGTAGTTGCCAGTGAGAACTTGCCGTGGGTCCACTAAAGTGACAAGTGCCATAGGATGAACCAGGCCCCAAAGGAAATGGGGTTGCACTTCTAGCGGAGGTTCATTCCGAGAATATTTCTCTTGCTGAATCTCAACAGTGCCCCCCTTATCTCTTATCATGTGAAGGGAATCTCTAGGTTCATTCCCAAAGCCGTTGACATTTCCTGAGTTCCAGCAAGAAATTGCTCCTCATCTTCCAAGGGCTATCGAATGGTACCAAGTGTAGATGGGGAGGCTTTGGAGAAAAAATGCATTGTCTCCAATAAAAAAAAGTTAAATGAAGAATTCATTGGCCTTTGGAGTGAGTTATGCAGTTATACCTGGATAGGCCTCGGATAAGTCAAAAGATCAGCCCCAATAAGGCCGCAAAAGGCTTAGCAGGCGACAGCCACTCCCCATAGCTCCCCTTGAACGTCTGCCTCATCAAATACGGGAACCCCCTAAAATGGGTGGATGTCCTTTTGCATCCCAGAACCAGCAAGTCTGTTTGTCCGTAAAGTCCGACCGCGGCACCAGGAGCTGGAGCCGCACCGACGGCGCAGTCCGGGAGGTGAGTAGTGCTCCCGCGAAGTAGGACAGCACCTCGCCCGCCCCCGAAACTGAACGCCGAGCCCCAAACATCACTCCAAAAACTCCGGGGTCCCTTCTGGCTCTGAAAATCCCGCAGAAGTTGCAACATAAGCCTTGGACCATTTGAAGTGGACACCATTCACATGGCCCGCTTTTGAGGGTAAACATAGTAGCAATTTGGAGACAAACGCAGCCACAAACAAAAAGCAACTCTGCAACTTGACCCTGCAAAATGTACTGCTTGCTGGTTGCAAGGTAGACAATTGGACAACTGCAAGGCAAACGATAGTGGAGTCCCCGCTTCTGTGATAGTAGGCCATCATCCCCATGATTACCTGATTACGTTTACAACACAAACACAAACAAAAAAACGAGTGTCACAGAAATTGGTCCTGAAAACACGTTCTCCACAACGATGCTTCGCTCCCCCCCAAAGACAAAACACAAATGTGCCGTTCGTTTGGCAAGTGTCGACCAGGGTTAGTTGCGAATTTGCATAAGCAACCGATCCCTGGCTCCCTTCAAAGGGAAACCCAAAGGAGGTTCAAATCATATTGGCTTAAGCACCCAGAATGCAGAAGAACAAAATGAGCTCTTTTTCCAGTGTGTGACAGGCAAGAATAAAAATTACCAAAAAGTGGTGCTCTCGTTTTCGGCTACTCCATGTTGGTTTTCAGGCGAGTGCCTCTCAAGGGCCTGCTTAGAGCAACCAAGAACAATAGCAACACAGGAATCTGCATGCCCAGAAAGAAGGTCCTTCTTATAGCTACCAGGCAAAATACGGGCACGTCCTTCTTTGGGCGACCCCAAAATGACGATTGTCCTGTTGGCTGTGTTTTAAAACCGGGCAAAACGGGGTATTCGCAAAAAAGACGCGCTCATATGGGGACCACTCGAACGATTCGCAGGAGAAAAGACACGCCGCCTTTCGCTCACAGAAGAGCTTGAAGAGATACGGGTCGTTCCTCTCGCCCCAGGCAAGCCTGGGGCCCAAAAAAGCGGATTGCACAAAAGTGCAGTTGGGCTTGTCCAAAAAACAGGGAACCCAACCCAACAAATGGTTCTCCCTGTGGTTCCTGAAAACCAAAGGGTCGTCATACCAAAAGAGACCTTTGGAACCTACGGTTTGCCCAAGGCAAAGAGTGCAACGTGTTTCCTGTGGCTTGTCTCAAAAAACAATGAAAAGCGTTGCTTCCAAAAAGCAGAGGCACCATGAGGCACCCATTTGTTTGCCTCACCTCCCAAAGCACCCAGCCTCACGTTCGTTATGACTTTACCTCCAGTTTACGTTTCATTGCCCCATGCTTGCTGACCACTTCACGTATCCTCCCCCACCCCAACCAAACACAAATGCAGGATTCCTTAAAGGATACATCCCAAAACCAGCTGCTGTTGCGAGGGAATCCTTTAACAAAACTGATAACATATACTTCGCTTCGAGCAATCCCCACCCTCCACACTCACGAAATCAAGCATGGTTTTGGAGTGGCTTGGGGCCTATGACGGCTCAACAAGCGTTGCACTGAGAGCCTTATCCACCTGTCAGTGTGTGTGTGTGTGCGTGTGTCAAACTCCACTTGTCTGTGAGCCGATCTCGAGAACTCAAACATCGGTTCCGCTAACAGAAGCCAAGCCCCTTTCAAAAAGAAACCCGACGGGGGATTAAACAAAGTTGCTTATTCACAACCCAAAGCAACACCGAGCCTCAGGGTACACTCAAAACACGAAGGCACCAACATGAAATGTAAACCCAACTGTGCGCCAGGCGGGACATTTAGCAAAACCAGACGAGCTGCTCTGGCGGGATACTGGCGGGATCCACTGGCGAATACTGGCGAGCCGCTCCGGCTCGATACTGGCCGGATACTCGGCAAGATCCACCGGCAAGGAATACTCAGCGGGATACTCACTCGGCGGGATACTCGGCGGGATGCACTGGCGGGCTGCTCTGGTGGGATACTCGGCGGGATCCACTGGCGAGCTGGTGGCGGGCTGCTCTGGAGGGATACTCGGCGGGATCCACTGGCGGGATACTCGGCGGGATCCACTGGTAAGCTACTCTGGGATACTCAGCGGGATACTCGTCTGATACTCGGCGGGATCCACTGGCAAGCAGCTCTGGCGGGATACTGGGTGGGGGCGTGGTGCAGAAGCATCGCAAACGCGGATTCCAACATAAAATCTAACAACCCCTTCCTGTCGGGTGGGGAACAATTCCATGTATCTTTTGAGGTACCTTGTTTTGGGGCAGGGGGGGAGGGGTAACCAAAAATGAAAGCCCCATGGCTGACCGCCACGAGTACTTGCGAGTAACACCACAAATCTCTGGTGCCCGGCGTGGATTGCGCCCATCCACCCAGCTTATTTTGCAAAGGCCCTGTGTGTCTTTGTCAATTTGTTGCAGAAGCCATGTTTAACTTCGGGAAAACAATGCCTCAAGCAAAAGCCGAGGGCCGCACATCTGCCTAGGGCGTGTGAGGCATGGCCGAGTCCGGCATGAGGCTCATGGAGTGCGCCAGCCTCGAGGACCATAAGGGCTCTCAAACAAAGCCCGTGTCCCATTTCCCTGATACGAGTACCCACCAAAAGGGAGTTTGTACAATTTCCCGTTGGATACCAAGCAAAAGGAGATTCACCATTTTGAGGAACACCCGCATATGATGTGGGGCTCCTTCAGTGTGGTGACATATTGGAATCGACCCAGAAACTTTCAACTGGGTCCTTTTAACACCTCTGGAAGTGGACGCACGCTGGCTTGTATGCAGTGCTCACTGAAAAACAGATTCTTATGATTGTTCAAGGAGGCTATATTTTCGGGGATCATCACATCTAAGCGGAGGAAACTTGCTGTTTTCTTCTGGGTTTCCCAGTGCATTACCTTGCCATCCAAGAAAGCACACCCAAGTGAGCCATGGACCCAACTGTTTGATTTTAGTGAGTGCCCTCATGTTCGTTTGTCAATTTGCTCAGCGTGTGCAATGCCACACATTTCCGTTGCTACCGCAAAATACAGCAAATAGCAAGCATTGAGTGTGGCCCTGCGCAGGGTATTCTCAAAAAGCTGAAACCTGGAAACTTGGCCCAAACGGCAAAGTCCAAATGATTCTTTTTGGCTGCAAGCTCCCTTATTTCCCATACAGGCACCGTTTCAGGTGGACAAATTGAATAGGGTCCCTGGACATCGGAGACATTGCATTCGAACCGCTGAAGTCGGCTGCCGAACCAAACAGAAGCTGAGTCGAAAGCTTCCCCGGGAGCACGCGCAACGTGGAATCGAAGCATCGGGACGGTGGGCTCCCATGGGACAGGACCCGAGCGACGCAGAATTTCTACGCATGCGACCTGTCCCAACGCCCAAGCGACCTGGGAAAAAGCGTCACGGCCACGTGCCTGAGCAACCCAAGCTCTCCAGCGAGCTTGAGGCTTGGCCCGCACAGAAACCATCTGCGTGCGGAGGCCTGAAACCATCAGGCCGCTCATACGATCCACAAAGCTACCAATTTTCCTCCAAAAATCTCGTTTCAAAACTCGGCTTTCCTTCGGAGGAGTTAGGGGCGCCAAAATAATAGTTAGTAGCCTATTATTGTTGGTTTGGCAGTTGCTCGTATGAGCTACAGTAAATATGCAGCGTCCCCAACTGACATGGACACTTGGTGAGTAACCACCGTTTTCCCGTCTGGAAATTGGGTTAGTTGATTCTACAGTATGTGGCGTACACAGGGGTTGGCTCATATCAAGGGTCTCTCAAGGAAGAAGTCTTGACTGTATCAAAGGCATTGCTTGGCCAAATGGGCACAGGTGTAGGCCGGAGTTTTGGTGCATGCTGATTCCGGTATGGGTGCAACATCGAGGGTCTGGAACAAATAGCAACTATCCTCTTTGTGGGTGTCCTTTGGGCAAACTTAAACCATATCGCCTCTATATGGCAACCCCACAGGTTCTGGTGGCGACACCAGCCCTTTGAGGGTTTGTTCCTTTGCAGGTCATGGTTGCATTTGGGGATACGTTGCGTGAAGAAACAAAAGCGCAAAAACGGCTTCTCAAGTACAAACTCCGGCACTGGTTGCTAGATGGGTGATGGCCTGGCGTACGTGCCGTCAAGCTTCCTCCGCACTTGGCGGATTTGCTGGGCATTTCTTCCCAAAGGGCATGGCCCTTGGTCCCCTTAAGAACACGTCCAAACCTCAACCTTCATCAGCTGGGCTTTAGCCCGAGGGAAAGAACCCCTAATGCTCGCATAGGCTCGGAGCCTTCCAAAGCAACCCGTCCCTGTTGGGCAAGCAAGCCACGCGTCCTCCCGACTTCCAACATCGCACCAGCTGCCGGGTGTCTGGAAGATAAGCTTCCTCTCTCCAAAGTTCGAATGAACCCCAAAACGGGTCTCCTTCTTGTTTCCTCTAACGACGGCGTACCCTCAAACGACACGCCCGTGCGTTGTCATCACCCTCCTCGTGGAACGGCAGCGGATCAAGGGCCACTCATGGGTCCGTCATCGCGGTCTTTTGAGCGCGGCAAAAGCACCCGGGTTCAGATATGAGGTAGTAGGCAAGGCTTTTCAAGTTAGGAGGTTTCAGTGTGGGAAACTAGCTTTTCTGGCCAACTGGAAGGGACAGGACTCCAAAAACACACTCAAAAAAACGACTCGCTCAGAAGCGTTGGATGTGAAGAAGGGCAACCAACAACAATTAGGTCCTCAGCTGTGCCGCACCCTTGCGCATTTGGACGCCCAAGTTTGAAACCTCACATGGCAGCGGAAGATTGTCAGAGCGCCGGCTTCTTCAGGATGCAGCTTTCTCAACAAGGCTTCAACCACTGGGGTAGATGCCTGAGATGCGCCCCATGCAACTTGCCTAAGACACAGAAGTAGCGCGGACATGGGTATGTGCTTCTTTGGGGACCCCATTTCTTTGGAAATCCCGAAGGAAACCAATGATTCTGGGGGTCCGAAGCCTAAGAAAGTCAAGCCACCCACGCGCACCCACATACATGTTCACGCAATTCTACATTCATTGAGGGCACGTGTCGCCTACGACCACAACGCAGAAGCGGCACAATAAGCAAAGCCAACACTCAGCCACTCAGCCACTCAGTCACACCGTATGTAGATATGTAGGTATGTAAGTAAGCAAGTATGTATGGATGGATGGATGAATCTATAGCCAAAGCCAAGGAAGCACAACAGTGACACCGATTTTTCAGGCCAGAAAGGGCGCCTTGCGGATGCGGGGGTTAGAAAAATCTGGCTCCAGCCAGGGCCCCGCACGCCTTTGGCATGCAGGGCACCCCTCTCCGCGGACCAAGCCCCGCCGGGCAAAAGCCACGGGGTCTTGCCATGCCAGGCCCGACTCCCGGGGTGAAACGCCAAAGGCCTCGCGGACATGGACTTCGTACCCCTCGGCTTCCAGGAACCTCCGCATGGCCACCCACTTGCCATGCGGAAGGCTCCTGGAGCTCCGGTGGTACTCGAACATGATGAAGGGTGGGAGGCGGATGTTGCCTCCCACACCTCCATGGCGCAAGATCTCAGACTCTGCGCCTCGCATCGCTGTTTGGGAAAGGGGGCTGTTTCAAAGTATCCCAAATTATGGCCAGGCTACACCATGAATGTGAGAACGACCCAAGTTCGCTTTGCATGCGGACACTTTTCCCATGAAGGCGGGCAGAAAAAAAGGGGGAGCCATTGAATGTAACCCCGCTCTAGCAACCTTAAACATCTTAAACGTTAAAGTGCCAACAGCGTGACAAGTTCCTTCGCAACATCAGCACACACTTCTCACAAAAGACTTGAAGGCTCCTGCCTTGATATAGCTTCGTTTCCAAAGAGGGATGGGAAAGCAGAATGCAACTGCTTGACATACAGCAATCATCCTCCCCGCCCGCTGCTGATTTGCAGACACAAGTGACAGAAGCCCAAACAAGCACAAGCACCAAAACAAGCCCGGTATGAACGAGAAGCTTGCATTAACAACAAAACACACACAATATGCTCAAACTTTGATTGAACTATTTCGAATTTGCTTGCCCCTTGTCATGCGTGACCTTGATGAACATACTCTATGCTGCCCAAAAGGCCATTTAGCTGCCCGGCTTCACCGACTTCCACGCGACCTTCAACCCTTTCCAGCCTTCGATGTCCAGCTTCAAAAGGCAATAGTGCCGCTCTTGAAGCAGCGCAAACCTTGGAAGCCAAGTGGCGAAGCAAGCTTCGTCCACTTTGCACGATCCTGCATTCATTGTACGTAAATACCTCGAAAGACTTTCCGGCCCAGAGCGAGCAGCACGATCTACCCCTGACCCTCTACTCTTCCCGTAAGAACCCCGTGGTGTAGACACACTGTTTTTGAGGCAAACAATCAGGAAAACACATCAAACAAGATTTGAGCCTGCTCCCAAAAGTCCAGAATGGTCATATGGTCAGCTTCCAACTGACGTTTCCTCACATGTCTGTTCAAAAATAGGCCCCCAAACTTGAGCTCAACATGCTTTTCAGGGGGCCCTACAGCAAAGTCTTGTTGTCTCCCCGCCCTGAATACTACAACCTGCTCTGTGTAATGATCTCTGTGCTAGTTAGATAATGTCACGGCCCAGGTGATTGTGGCGAAGCTTCAGGCTTTGTTGCTAGATTTGGGCCTGCTCCCACAACAAGAAGCTCAGCTTTTCCAGACTCATATCTTCTCACATGTCGCTTGTTTGAAAACTGCCCGCAGGCAAACTTCAGGCCACCAATTTGACCATCTCAGGACCCCCCTAGAACAAAGTCGTGTTGACTGGCCGAAAAACATCCCTAGAAATACACAACCAAATGGAAACTCAGTTCCAAATCTGAAAAGGAAGCTCCAGCAATACTAGAACAAATGGAAACTCAAGTCTATCCAAACTAAATCAAACCGGAAACTCAGTTGAACTCCACCCCAAGATGTTCTTCTAGATACCCCCATGGGTTAGGGGGACCCCCCTTTACCAATCCCAGGTGGGCATAAACCCGCCCAACACGGCAGCTGCCTTGCTGCCCGAGTTGCAGCGAGGTGCCCATCACAGCCTGCGAAAGATGGAGAAGATGGAAGGAAGCCAACTGGTGGCAAGTTGGACGACAATGTTGGAGCCACGTGTTTGGCAATCTGGCAATCACGTTTTTCGGCTTTTGGCAACGTGGTTTTTGGAATTCTCTAAATCTGGCTGAGGAACGGGCATGTCGTGCAACGCTTTGGATCATCCCGGGCCTCCCGCGCTTCCGGGTCTCGTGGCCGCCGGAAGGCAGTTACTGCGCAGCGCTGGCTGGCGCTCGCCTCCTGTCGTTTTCTCGGAGGCCTTTTGAAAGCTCCAGGGTCATCGCAAAACATCCCACGCCCACGTCAATCACAAAGTCAGGTCCTACCTTGAGGCATGAAGAAATATTTCAGATTGAACACATGTAATGACATACAGGTTTGACATGTCGGAAGAATCGTGAGATGCAGCGTGCAAACACACAAAGGAGGAGAAGCAGAGACATACAAAATGAATAGTCGCATGCCGTTCCAAGGCAACGGTGACAAACGAAACCAAATCCCTCCCCTCACAAATATGGCAACGACTTGAGTGAAACCAAGCGAGCATGTCTCGCACTCCGTCCGGTGTATTCAAGAAAGACCCCCCCCCTCGCCCCCAAACAAATTAATTGGGGGTCAGCAGGGAGTAACCCAGAAACAAATGGGGGTCGGAGTTGGGGGCCTACTCAAGAAGCCTCTCCATAAAGACTGCTTAGTACTGGATTGGTTTTTTGGTAGTATTCTTTTGAGCTGGCCCAGTTGTCCTTGAGCATTCCTTTGTGCTTGTTCAGTAGTCTTTGGAATTGGTTTAGTAAATGTTTAGCATTTCTCGATACTGGCCCAGAGATCTTTGGATCTTTCTCTTGTTTACTTCATCCAACATTCATTATCATTAACTTTTCGGGGCTTTCCTGTACCACCCCCTTGAAATGTTTTTTTGGGTGGCTGTTTTAGGAAAGGACTGCCTTAGTATAACTGACTTAGTGTTGACACAATAGTTTCGCATTGCTCGTGCTTGAAATCACTCCCGGTTTGCTCATCGCTATCGGACATTTCTCATCTTCGCAATTCGCAAGGATCATTGCAGCGGATTGGTAAGGCTTGGTTGGCAAGAGCAGGATTCATTTCAACTCGCCATCAGCTTTAGCTGTGAAACTGCTCTGATGGATGGGCCTCACCGGGTTCTCATTCTCTGTGAGGGGGGGGGGACCGAAGCCAACGGCTGCATGCGACTCGTACGATGAGATGAGCCGAGCCGAGGCACCACGATCAGCTGGCGCTCGGGAGCGCGGCTGCCGCCCACCACTGCCGCGTGAACGCAGCGCAGTTCAAGGGCCTAAGGCTCCATGCGAATGAATGCGAATCCATCAAATCCAAAAAGATACCAAATACGCTCAGGTGATATCCAACAAACATGCCATGAATACAAATGCCGTGCGCTGAAGGCCTAAATCTGACGCCTGGGCTCCTGGCGGGTCGCTCGGAGCGGAACTCCGAGTGCAGCCTGGCCAAATTGGCCGCCAGCATTGCCTAAGCTTTCGGTCCGGCGTGTCGCATCCACTTAGCGACCATGGCACCCCCCTGCATCCAAGACACAAAATTGGAGGCACATGCCTCAACTCCGGTGTACACCGTGGCCCCCAAGGACAGCACGTGGCGCGCATAGCTGCCTCGGCTTCAACGTCTTGCAGCTTGCCACTGACCCTCAAATCCGGCCAATGTGCCACGTTCATGCAGTGGGCCTCTAAAGTTCTGGAACAAGAAATCACTCAGTCGACCCAACTTTTGCAGGTTGCCAACGTGTGCCCCGAGGTCCAGCACGGCGTCACCGGAGCCAGCCGCCCAGTTCATCCAGGCATAGATCCTTGGCTGAGTTGCCCGCCCTAAGGCGCAGCTCCATCTCAGCGACGGCCCCAATGCGACGTGTCAAGCCCTTTCATTGATTTCCTGTAACGAATGCCCGAATACCAAAAACCGGTAGCGTGCTTGCAACATGCAGCTGGGCAGCTTGCGCCCCAGGATCTCCTCTGCGATGCGGGCATCATCGCTGTCCCTGAGCAGTGTGACATGTCAACAGTCATCTCTTGCGCGTTGCGGTATGAATATGCTCCTGTGGGCGGAGTCACGGAGATTCGCTTCTACATTAAAGGACGGGATAACCCCACATGCAAAGTGTTTGCAGCAAGTCTTATCAAGGCTCATGGAAGAAAGGACGCTAGCAGTGTGGGGAAGAAAAAGGGAAGCAAGAAGAAAAAACGAAGGAATGAGTGAGTGTCTGTGAGTGAGATGAGTGTGAGTGTGCGCTGAGTGAGTGTGTGTGTGTGTGTGAGTGAGTATGAGTGAGTATGAGTGAGTATGAGTGAGTATGAATATGAGTGAGTATGAGTAAGCATGAGTGAGTATGAGTGAGTATGAGTGAGTATGAGTGAGTATGAGTAAGTATGAGTGAGTATGAGTAAGTATGAGTAAGTATGAGTGGGTGTGAGTGGAT